TTTGACTCGTACTCCAGCTCAAAGCAGGGTTGACTTCTAAGTTAGGTGATGTTGTTTATGGCCTCAATAAACTGAATATCTCCAGGGATGGAGATGCTTCAGTCTCTCCAGGCATCTGTTCCTGAGCTAAACCACCCTGAAGATTTTTTTCTCTCCATCCATGTGTTAATTTTCGTGGCTGCTGCTTGTACCTATTGCCTCTGCCCGTCTGCTGTGCCCATTCAAGAAGAGTCTGGCTCCACCTTCTATGTAACTGCCTTTGGATACTGGGAGACTACAATTAGGTCTTTCTCATAGGTGAGCAGACAAGCTCTGTCAGCCTCTTCTCTCCTACTGTGTACTCCAGCTCCCTGAACATCCTGCTGGACTTGCTGCACTCTCAGTGCCCCTCTTACACTGGGCAGCCCCAAACTGGACATAGGACTGCAGATAGAGTCTCAAAAGCACTGCACAAAGGATCACCTGCCTTGACCCACTGGCTATGCTGCAGCTCATGCAGCCCAGGATGCTGTTGGTTTGCTTTATTGCAAGGGCATTTTTGGCTCTTGGTTGACTTTCTATCCACCAGGACACCAAGTGCCTTTTCTTCAAAAACACGTTTACAGGCTATAGGAATACACTTAGGATTGCTTCCAGGGAATGTGTCCCTGAGAACGTGCTGCACCCATTCCCTTGAATTTTGTGTCCTTTTAGACTATCTCAGTTTGGCCTTCCAAAAATGAAATGACCTTCTCCTTTCCATCCTTTTGCTAGATAGTCTTTAGTTCTTTGGCTTTGGGCTTTAGGATAATGAAGGCTGGTCGCCTAGGTCTCCTAAACATATGGATAACTCTTACTTCCTCAAGCAGTCCTGGAGGAAATGAAATACCAAGTGGGAGAACTGATGTGACTTTAGGTAACAGGCCAGTGTAAATGCTAGCAAGAATTGGCCTGAAAGTATTCACTGGTTTTACTGCTGCAGAAAGAATGACACACAGCTCTGATAACTCGTCTCCTGGTGAGTCCTACCAGGCTGCGCCTGGATCCAGAGAGATTGCTGCATGGTTTGAGGAGGAAAACAGATAACGCAAAAGTGTGGGAGGTGCAAACGAATCCTGTTTTCTTGCAAGAATAACTGTAACAGGAAACTGTCAGCTGACACGGGTCGATAGGCAATTCATCGTGGATGGCTAATAGATGTATATGTATATCTCCATGGCATGATGTCTGCATGAAACGATTACACCCAAGTCTGATTGCTTGCTTTTGGCCTTGAACTTGATTTCAACTCTGTTATGTTTACTGAAGGCGTGGCGAAAACTGCCCTATAAAGCAGAACAGGGGTAGTGCCAGCCTGTCTGTCACTCTGTTGGCGTTGGCTGGAGAGTTACACCGGAGGCATTGCAGGTAAAACATCCCTTTGCTGTTTTACTTAGTACAAGATGAAACAGGTGAAATACAAGTAGTAGTGCTGGGAAAGTACCACAGACACACTGAGAGGGATTTCTCTTGGAGACACAGAATAAATTAGAGTCCTTGTCCTTAATGTTACCTGGAGGGAAAGAAAAGATGAATTTGCTGTCCTAGAAAGAGCCTCGTAGTAAAGCAGTAAGTTGTCAGAAGTAATTGAATCAAGTGGGAGTGGAGATCCTAAGATGAGGAGGTCTCTATAGTTACTGTAGGCTGCTGTTAAATGAGGTAGAAAAAAGGTATCTGGAACTGTCCTATGCTGTGTATGCAAAATGAGGAGAAAATTGACTTAATAAATAGCCAGAAGGAAGTATTTCACAAGCTTTTTGGAGCAGAAGGTCATGCAAGATGCCACTGGGGAAGTAATCTCCTGGAGTGTTGCCCAAGTGCCTGGCTTTGGTTTTGATTTTCTGGGTACTCAAGGCTTTCACACATCATATGTACGAGGAGCTGTTGTCCATCTGGGATCTGGTATGCCCAAATTCAGGTCCCTGCTCTGCCTGCTCAGTTTGCTGTCACAGCGTTTTTAATCTGAATGCAAGGAGAGCTCATAAACTCACACTTCTCTTCATTGTAAGACAATTCTGGAATTGACTCCCTGAAGCTTGTACAATGCTCCAAATATACGATTGGCAGGGTCTTAGAGGAAAAATTGCTGCAGCATGTGTTGAATATTATGGGTGAGATGAAATGTACATTGATAGCTTGGAGTGCTTGAGGGGAAACAGGGAAAGATGGGCTGCTGGCTTTTTGGCTTTTCTGGTATTCTCTGTATTGTTTGAGAAAATTCAGCTGGTCTTCTAAGGTACAGAAACCCAGCTGAGCCACCATGGAATGGAAATGTTTTGAGAAAATCAGTGGAGAGGAGAAGGTTCAGCTATGAAGTAGACACATGTTTTCTAATTGCCTATTTTTACTTTTTACTCAGTGAAAAATATCAGGAGCCATTGAAGGAAATTATGTCTGTACTCTGACATAAATCTTTATGCAAAGTGTAATTAGCTGTCAGTAGCATTTGCCACCATTGAGTACCTGATTATAATAGTGACTTGACATCTTTCATGAATGAATGCTGGAGGGAAACAAGAGACACTGCTGCTGGCTTTTAAGCTGTTTAATGCAGAAAACGGTGGGTGCTGGTGGTTCCCAGGTTTAGTTTCTGCAGGGTTCACCAACCTTTTTGTTCTGATACCCGCAGGGACTCCCCATTCTTTCCCATCCCTTCCAGCTGTCACACCTGATCTCTTTTTATCCTCTCTGTAGCTTTTCCACTGTTCTCCTTCCCTTCCTCACCCTTGTCATTTGACCCTCTGAGATAGCCAGCAAGAAGACGGATCTCTCCCTGCTGAGAAGGAAGAGGAATCAAAAAAGAGCAGTAGATGCAAATTGGGGTGTGAATCCTTTCCCCATTTCAGGTAAGTAAATGTTTTGGAGGAGATGCCAACACTAAGTAAATATTTAATCCCTTGTGAATAATAATTTGCTTCCTTACTTGAGTGGCGGTCTCTTGTTTTTCTCTAGAGTTTCAGTGTCCTTAAAATATGACATTTGTACACAGAATATATATATGCAGGGGTCTGGAACTAGGTGATCTTTAAGGTCCCTTCCAACTCAAACCATTCCATGATTCTATGTCTGAACCAGCTTTTGCGAGTGTCTGAAATCCCTCCCTCTTTCCACCAACCTCTCGTGGCAAGGAGCAGTCCAAGGGCAGTGCCTCTGAGACCCATTGCATTGTAACTTTGTCCCTTGAAAGTCTTCCTGCCTCAGAGTTTGGTAATGGTAACAAGCTCCCCATATCAGGTAGGCAATATTCTGCTATAAAAGCTGTCACTTATGCACCCGTGAGAGCTAACCAGGAAGGAGCTGTGGCCAGAGTTCAGGAAGCTGTTCGCTCCAGATGAGGTGGCAAGCGGAGTGTGCTGGCGCAGGCAGGACAATGCCAGCCAGATACAGGCTGCCCGCACAGTGGCAGAGATGGATATAGAGCTCGTGTGCCCCCAGACACAGTGCTGATAAAGTTATCCCTGCTGGGGAGAAGTAGTTAAATGTATTCTTCAGTCTGGATGCTAATTTATTCCGGATATGTTGAACAACGTAATTAAACACACACACACACATGCTAAAAACTCTTGTTCTCTGTCAGAAGAGAGGGAACGTGTGTCAGACCCAGCCTTCAAGCTCTGTTAGTTTTAATTTGAGTTTTGGAATTAGTAATCAGTTTTGCTGGAACACTGTTGCAAGAAATAGATCTTAGCATGCATGGGGCCTGGGCACAGTTTCAAATGAGTATTTGTTAAGAAGAAGCCATTCCCTTGTCGTGTTATGGTACATTACATGAGATTTATTTCCATTGTATTAAAAAATGCAAGCCCAAGGGGAATATTCTCTCTCCTTGTTGGCCGAGGGAGGTTTCTGAATTCCATCTGATTTTTTTTGTGGGGCTTTTAATTAAAACAATGAGATGCAAAACTCCTTATTTGTGATATGCTGTTGTTACAATGCCCGGAGGCCGAGTGACTTGAAGCATAGAGAAATGGGATTACACCAAGAAAAAACGTGTATGTGGGGGGCTGTATCACACCTTCAGTGTGTTTTTCACATGTGGGGACGATTCACAATACAAATCTGAGGCTTTGCTCTAACTGGAGCCATCTGCTTTCTTTGTGCCGCACCAGGAACATCTCAGATCTACAGACAAGTTTGGTAGGAAAGAGCCTTTAATCTACTAAAAATAAATATAAATAAATAAATAGAAGAAAAAAAAAGGGGGAGGGGGGGAAGCTGTGACATCCTCTGGCTTGAAAGTGAAATTAAGTGACTTCAGGCTAGAAATTAGCACAGCCAAGTAGATTAATTAAATGTAGGAGTGGCTTGCCCAGGGCATGTGGTGGATCTTCTACTGCTAATTTATGAGAAGGTACGTCTTAAGTGGAAGCCAGGGCAGGAATTGCTGGCCCTATCTCAGCATTGTAGCTGTAGGGAGTCTGTTGGGTTGTCTGAAGCTGGTTGGAAGCCACCCCAATCTGCATGGGGTCTTTGGAGCAGATCCCAAGGAAAGGTAAGTCTCTGGTGCCTTTGCAACTCACGGAGAGTGACTATCAAGCACTCATTAGTAGAAATGCAATAACGTAACTCAAAAATGCCCTGTGTACCTCACAGCAGCCTTCCTGCTCATACCACCACCATCCTCTCCTGTGTCTGCAGCTCCTGCTCCATCCCTTATGCTCACTTATGTTACAGATGCACCTCAGTGCTAACACAGCGGCTTGCTAACAGCTTTGCTCTCTGTCTTCAGGGTAGACTCAAAATTGAATTTGTAGCAGTGACAGCACTGGTTTAAGATAAACCAGTTGGGATTTGACAACTACTCTTTCCTCATGCATTTCCAGCTAATAAGGATTTTGTCACTGTGACTGCCCTCAGCTTCACAAGCACAAAACTCTTGGGGGTATGGGGAGGTGTTTGCTTCCCCATACACTCGTAAGGCACCACTTTTGGTCAGGAAACTAATAGCAGTCCATGTCTCTCCTCCACAGGAAAGGGGCACAATGTTTGCCCCTGGCTCTGGTCTGACATCAGAGCAGGGCTGGCAAGCAACAGGGACAACGGGAAGCCTCCAGAACCTGAAGAAATTTAATAACCAGGACTTCAACCGCCTGCGAGCCTCATGTTTGAGCCAAGGACTGCTTTTTGAGGATGCCACCTTCCCTGCTCATGTCAGCTCCATCGGTCCCAACCTACTCCCAGAGGATAAGCTGTGGCAAATACAATGGAAGAGGCCAACAGTGAGTTACACCAGCTGCAGTGTTTCTTAGTCCATGGGAGCACTGATGGCCAGGGGCTAAAGGCCTTCATCTTGGGGACAGAGATCTGTGCTAACCAGGGAAGTAGACCCCAAGGGGAACACTGGGAGCACAACACTGAGGGGTTCTTGCTGTGGGATGTGTGGAGGAAAGATAACTTCTGTAACATTAATGATTTCATTGGGTATGTTTTTATAGGAAACTTGTTTCCACCCATGAACCTGACTAGAACTAGTGCTCCCACTTTGATCTGCTTCTAGAGGACTTCACGTCAACCTGAAAAGCTGTCTAATTCTATTAAAGATCTCTGATTTCTGAAATCCAAGCCACTGACTCAGCAATACCTAGTTAAAGTAATTGGGACAAGGAAGGGAATGAAGTGTGTTTATCTGCTGATTCGTAGTTGCAGTTTAATAGGCAGCTGTCATCATCTGGCATATGGATGTTTAAAGGGGAAGGTGGAATTACATACTCAGCTCTTTTATCCTAGGACCTACTTCAGGGAATCTTTCCATGATCAGACTGTGCTATATAGCACTGCTATGTACCATTTACTGCTAATGCAGCTACTGGATTTGCCATGTGCTGCCCCTTTGCTGGGTTTTTCTGAGCACAGCACTGATGCCTGAGACTATTGGTTTCCCTGGGCTGGAGCAAACCAGTCCTTCTTCGCGAAGGAAACCCCCAGGGTAGAGAGAGTAACTGTGAGAGACAGGACAAGACAACTGGAGAAGATTTATTTAGATGGTGGATGCAAGTAAGGCAATGAGGGTATGCTGGAGCTTAGTAGTGTGGTGGCTGTGGCATAGCAGCATCAGAGGCTGCTGCTAGCATGGACATTGAAAGTCATGGGTCCCAGAAGGGAAGCAGGCTAGGACAGGGAGCCTGCAGAGCTCGTAAATGTGGATGCCTGAATGGAAAGGTGGGAAGTCCCAGCCTCAGTGTAAATGCAATGGGATACAGTGAAGAGTTAGATGGAGCAGAAGCCGCAGCTTGAACAATAACAGGGCTGTGGAGGCAGTGTTGTGGTGATGGGGATGGGGCCTGAGGCTTGAACTTCTCACTAACTGCTGCTGCAGCAGGGCCCGAAAGCATCAGAGGAGTTGTGTGTGCAAAGGTAAAGGCACTTTCAGTCTGTGTCAGTGCTTTCTCATGTGGCTTGTAAAGTGAGCTGGTTTAATATGGGAGTCCCTGAAGATGGAGGTAAGCCAGGAGTACCAGGACAGCATGTGAAATGCCACTTCTAACTCTGCAGTAGTTGCAGTTTCCCATCAGATGGGGACTGCTACAGACTGTGTTTTCATCCCCAGGCCCTCAGTCTACATTGATTGAAATGTGTGCAATTTCTAACAGAGATTTGCATGGGGTACTTCAAACATTACTAGAGGTGGGGCTGGAGGTACCAGGTACAGTAGGAGCTCTGCAATTAACTGTTCTTGTGGTTCACCTGCAGTTTTGAGAAATGGAAGAGAAGTTCTATTTTAGACTGAACAAATTATTTTCTATAGCTGGGCTTTTATAAAGACCAAAGGGAAATTCTCCTTGAAGAGTTATGTCAGATTTAAAAAACTGAGGTGCTTCTTTAAAACTGTGCAGGACAAATGAACTTTTGTCCTTTTCCTTCACACAAGGAGTAGAGTGGAACAGAGGAAGTCATAGAACGATCTGCTGTTGCTGAATACACGTTTTTAATCAATTAAGGTTTAGACTAAAGATTTCACTCTGATCTGACCATAATGCATAGTACTACACAGATGCAAAAAGAAATCAAATTAGGATGATCAAGACAATGTGAATTGTAGTGGTACTGAATGTGGAATGCTTTACCTTTGCTAACTTTGGTTATATCTTTGAATGTGGTATGTTCCAGTATCTGAAGGGCGCCTACAGGGATGCTGGAGAGGGCTCTTCATCAGGGACTGTAGTGATAGGACAAGGGATGATGGGTTTAAACTTAAACAGGGGAGATTTAGGTTGGATATAAAGAAAAAGTTCTTCCCTGTAATGTGCTAAGGCACTGGCACAGCTTCCCCAGGGAAGCTCTGTTTGCCCCATCCCTGGCGGTGTTCAAGGCCAAGTTGGACACAGGGACTTTGAGCTACCTGGTGCAGTAGAAGGTGTCCCTGCCCATGGGAGGGGGTTGGAAATAAATGGTCTTAAGGTCCTTTCCAACCCAAACCATTCTATGATTCTATGTGTGAGAGGAGATTACCATGTACGCAGCAAGGCCCTGCATCAGTGATAGCCCTCCATTGTGCTCAGTGTGGTTCCCATTATAGAAGTTAAGGGTAGTCTCTGAACTTCAGTGCTTATGCTTTAAAAAAAGATTAAAATGGGCAGAGCATGAAGTTGCTGAAGATCTTTCTGGAGTCTTCAAGGTCACAGGCCCCTGCTCCTGCACTGCTCATCCTTCGTCCATTCAGGACCCTGTAGCTCCCTTATGGAGGGAGGGATTGCTGAGCAAAAGCTGGCGTAGGACACTCCCACCCCTGCTTAAAACAGACTGGGATGTCTGGGAGGCAACCAGGAAAGGGAAAAGCTACAAGGTAGCCAGGCCAGAATCAACATGAGAGAAATCACTGAGTGCCTCTCATATAACTTGTAGGAGTGTGTGTGGTGAAAGGACTCAAGTAGCCAACATGGGTTTCCTCTGCATCATCACAGTCTGTTCATAGCATCAAGACATGCTATGGACTTCTTGGGTATTTATCTCATATCTGGTGTCAGGAGAAGGGAAGAATAGGATCAAAAAGAAGTCCAGCAGTCTGAGGCCTTGGGTAGAAGCCACAGAAAGAGATTGCTTTAGTTTGAGTTTGAGCAAGGGATATATCCTGTTCTCTTAGCAGAGGCTCAGAACTGTCCTACTGCATTTAACATCTAAAAAGCATTTTGGAAAATGACATACTTTGAGCCAGTGTTTGTTTGCTGGGAAAAGTGATTTGTCATTTGATTCAGTAATTTTGAAAAAAGGCTTCCTCAGATATTTTTCCTCCCTTCCTCTGTCCCTTCCCAAAGCAAATCTAACCTTCTTTCAGGAACCGAGTGAATTTGCACTGCTTTTGGTGGTTATTTGTTTATTGACCTTTTACTTAATTCCCAGAAAATACTATCAGCATTAAGGAATTTTGAACCTAGGAACCAGCTAAACCAAAATGGATCCTTTAAAAAAAAACCATTTTGCAGTCAGAATCTTTCCAGACAGATAAGCTGAGCTGGGCTTCCTACTGCATCAGCCTTGGCCTATGTAGGTGGAGGGGAGAAAAAGACAGATTTTGTCCAGGCAAGAAATCAGACAGTGGTTTGTAGTTAAGACATAGTTCTTATATTAAAGAAAAAGGGTGGGAGGGAGAAATATGGCTTGTTACATGAGCTGCTTTAATAAAGCAAGTTACAGGAAATGAATAACGATGAGGGATGGTGCTGTTCTGTGCTACCTGCATGTTTGTCACCTTGGGGCCAAAGCTGCTTGCCAGCTGTTCCTGATGGAGTTCACAGCTCCAGTACTTCCCAGGGGCCACAAGGCCCTTGGATCCTGCTCAGTATATCTCCTTGATGAAAATCAAAATTGATTCACCTGATTTTGAGGGTGTGTGTGCAATCAGTGTAATTGAACAGCTTTTCCAGGCTGCCATTGTGTCAGCCCTCGCCTACTCGGCTGATTGCATCTGACCTCAGCTTCAGAGTTCATATTTTCGGGCTGGGGAAGCTGCAGTGCGTCACCATTTATTACACCTATCTTTCTGTACAGGCTTTGGATGAGGAGGGTTTATCTGCATAATATCTCCCGGCTCTGTTGATTTTTGGAGAGGGCTGGTTGTATGTGGCGGGAGGGGAATGCATGGATCCTACATTGAGCGAAAAGTAGCGCTCTGATGATGGTCTGTTTCACCTGCCTCCCTCTTTCTCAGGCTGGGGACTCAGCTAGCAGGATTGTATGACTGTGGTGACCACAGGGGAATAGTTGGTATCACCCAGCTTGTACTCTATGGTCTAAGTGGGAGGTTTCAAGACCTGTAAGGAAACTGCCTCTCAAAGGCTTGGGGTAGACAGGTCTATCTCCCTTGTTTACCTCAGTTGTATTTGCCTCCTGTGTTTGCAATTGTCATTACATTTTAGCACTGAGCCACACAAAGCAAACGGGTTGCAAGTAAAATCTGAGCTGTTTTCTGTTCCTGGTGGTTGTTGGACACCAGTCTGTGCGCCAACAGGACTTTGCTCTTACATGTGTGGGCTCCGCACCTATGAAGAGTCTGACAACCTCATTCTGCCATTGTGAAAGAGAGCTGGAGCAAAGCAGGATTTTTTAAGGAACTAAGGCATTTGTATCAAACACAAGTAATAGGAATTGAGCTATTCTGCTCAGAGCAGAGACACGAGTTCTGGTGGTGCAAGAAAACTCCTTGAGATTAGCCTGGTTCTTCCTGTCAAAGAGAATGTCAAAGAAAAGTACAATATGAGTTTAAAAAATAAATAGATTAGGCAGATTCCCAATTCCCTCATGGCCTAAAAAACACAAAACTGTGGATAGAGCCTCCAGCCTGGAAGTCCTTTAGCCTCCAAGAGGTGGACAGTGGGAGGATGTATGCAGGGGGAGCATTAGCTTCAGCTTTTTTGATTATCCTTTCCCTCTCCAAGCTGCTGGAGACAAGTCATTGCAACAGGCAGACCTTTGTTGTGGTGCAGCACAGTTTATCCTTTGTTCTTCCCTCCATTGTTATTCCAAGTGGCTTATTTCTGTGTTAGTTACTCTGTGGAGGTTTCCTGTGGTTATGGAATGTATGCAGTGGTGTGCCTGACCCCTTCTTGGTGCACTGCTAGGCAGTGCCTTCAGCCCAGAGAACTGCAATACCGTGTTTGCTTAATCCAGAGCAACACTATTCCAGGCACAGCACGGGTGCTGAATTAAGGTTTGTCCAGCTGAGAACTGAGTTTGGCTTTCAATCAATAGCAGCCTTTTTATTTATTGTAATTGGTGTGTGTTGAACAGGGAACACTGTGGGTCACCATGGCAGGATGTGTCGGGAAGGTGAACCTGGAGCAGGCGGGAGTGATGCAAGTGCAGCTGAAGGGAAAGATGCATTGTTGTGGCAGGAGCAGAAGCCAGGCTGGGATTTACTGAAGGGTTAAAGTGAACTGATAAGGAGGTAGCTGTGTGAAGAGTCATTTCCTGCTTCTTAGTTTCTTGAGCCTGCACTTGGAATCATGATAGGCCAGCGGGGAGATCTGTGGGAAGGCGGCCACAGCCAAACCACCATACTGAGAAGTCAGACTGGCTTATGCCTGCAGTCAGACTGGTTTATGCTGCCTATGAAATCCCACCTTGGGCTTCCAGTTTTGCTCAGAAATGTTTGACTGTGTCCTTTGCATGTGGCCTACATCTATGCTACTCACCTCTAACTTCTAGGGCCTTATCCTTCCTTAAGGATGTCAAGCAGTTACAAAAAGAACTTTACAGACAAATGCATGCACAGGGCACTGTCCTTCCACCTCTCTAATTAATTCTCCGTCTTGCCCCTTGTATAAACAGTATTTCTGTGGTAAGACTATTCCCAGGAGGATGAACTTGTTTGAACTTGAACTTCTCTTTTATTCTGAATGCATAATGAAGTCCTCAATGGGCCAGGGAAAAGCGAGTGATGATAGCTTTGTCCTGGGGTGATGAGTTTAGGCAGAGCGCTTGACTTGCAGACCATATGGTTGCCTTCACTGCTGGACTCATGGGTACTCTGAAGGGAAACCATGTGTCTCCTTGAGCTCCCTCTTCTTTTCCCCCTCTGGCTAAAACTGAGAAATCTCAGGGAAGATGCCACAAAGCCTCATCATAATTTTGCAGTGAAACAGAGCACTGCTTCTGGACAGACTTATAATTAAAGCTGTGGTTTCTCTATTTGTAGCACAATTTGAGCACTAGCAAATAGTGAGGCACATTTTGTATAGTGGCAACTATGTGCTTAGCTGTGTTTTGCACTACTAGATGATAGTTTCTGGTGGTTTATGACTTTGAAAGAAGAGGAGCTAATTGGAGGCTTCCTTTCCTTGTGGTTGAGAAGGCCGAGATTTCCAAAGCGCTGCACCCATCACAATTATGTCGTCTCTAAGCTCTTTCAGAAACCCTGTGCATTTAGCTAGGGCTCCCTCCACACAGCATCCTTCAAGGGAACAACCATTCCACTACTGACTGCAGGGGTCGTGCTCTTCCAGAACTCTTCTGCGTATCTAGTCTTGCAATTCCCCACCACTGCCCCCTCCTGCCTTTGCTTCAGCTTCTGCTTCTAAATCTGTAGGAATACACCCCGCCTGGAAGCAAAGCTTAGTGTATTGTGGGTGAGGATTATAGCAAGAGTGTTTGCCTTCAGCTTTTGTCCCCTATGATAGCCATAATCGTCTGTATGCACAGGCAAGGCATGTTGGATGGGGCTGACTTCAGATCATGTCTTCATTTTTTAGACAAAATCACTGGTTATTCTCGGCAAGGAACCTGCTTAGGGACTCAACTCACCCCTGTTTGTTTACTGGGGAGTTGAATGTCTTGATGAGCAATAGGATATCTGCTGAGACATCTAATGGGCTGACTTTTCAGCTGGTCTCTGTAACAGTGCACTTAAGAGCTTTATTGTCCCAGCAGAGAGCAGACCATCAGCCCTTTCCTGGGGAATCTGCATAAGAGAAGCAGCTGTCTTCCCATCAGTTTCAGGCTGATGTTTCTATATGGTGGTTACCCCTATGGCACCTCTGCACTGTAGCACATCTATCAGAGCCCAGCCACTGTGCCTGGGGCAACTAAGACTTCAACTGCCTCAGAAATGATGGGGGAACAAAAATACCCATTCCTTTATGCTGTTGGTAAATCTTTTATCACAAATCCCTGAAGACCTGAGATGATAGGTGCGGATGGATACATGAAAGCATCTGTCCAGGAAGATGCCTGCCCAGGCTGCTTTCCCTGGTGTCAGCAGTGCTATGGGAGCATGATGTGTCCACCAGCCTGGAGCAGCAATGTAGTGTTCTATCTTCTCCTGACAGGGAAACTTCTTGGAGGGGTTTGATCACCGTGAAGCCATTTCAGAAACCTGACAGGGTTTGCTAATGCTGAGCTCATGCAACCGTGCGAGTCACGTTGTCAGCTGGTCTCATTTTTGTGCAGCATGTCAAATCGATTTGGGAGAAGAAATGCCAGGGCCTGCTTAAGGATGAGCTGCTGTATTATTTTTCTTACTCAGATGTGGGTTTTTTCTCTCTTTTATCTCTTCATTTTCTTAGGTACATGGCAACTTCCCTGTTTAAGGCTGATTGCTCTTTCAAAACAGAGCTTTACCCAGTTGGGTGTGCCAAGGGTGGCTCACGGGGGGTGCTTAGACCATTTCTACCTGAGCAGTCAAGATATCCCAGACCAATAGCAGAGGCAGGGAGGAGAATGGTTCACATGTCTGTGTGCAAACCGGGCTCTGGAGTGTTTCCCCCTTCACTGCCCAAGCCAGACTTTCTGCAAGGAAAATTCTCCCTGAACTAAAAATGTCAGCCAGGCCTATGGGATTTTGCAGCCAGAGATTAAGCTCTCTTTCTATAGCTTCCTCACCAGAGTGATGAAGATCAGCCCAGGCTGATCTGTATTAGTCCTGCATGGAAACACAAATAAAACATTCCTAGACCCATTGCTGAGCTGAAGTACAGATCCCATTCCAGATTGCTTGTGTCTCTGTGTCTCTGCCCCTCTCTCCCCCAGGAAAGTGCATGATTTTGCAGCCAGGCTCAGATGCCTCTTTGAAAGGTGTTGGTAGCATTAGACAAACCCAAATGAAAACTCAGTGCACACCCAGCCACAAGCCCCCATCCCTAGGAATAGCTGAGAAGACTAAAGAAGAGGTGCCCGAGTATCTTTCCTGGTTTTATTGGTGACAGGCAACAAAACATCAGGGCTCAAGAGGAATAGTTTTCAGATGTGGAAAAGGTAGGCAAGCAAAGGGCTTCAAGGAGCAGGAGCACACTGCTGGCAAGGTAGGGTACTCACGCCGCTCTTTGCATTTTCCTTCCTCCAGGAACTGCAGAGAAATCCTCGTTTGATCATAGATGGAGTTAGCAGATTTGATATCATGCAAGGAGAAATAGGTAAGGTCATAGTCCTGTTTTGGAAAAGATTGGCACAAAGCAATAGACTGCGATTGCTTTGCTATGTTCTGAGTGCTTGGTGGGAAGACCATGGTAGCTGCAGTAAACAATGACTGCAGGTCAATCCAGACTCTCACAAGTCCACACACAATTTATTGCAGATATTTAACAGGATTCCCAAATGTAGCAGCTCTAATCCCTGTTACTTATATAGGACACCTGCCCTCTATGTATATAAGGACAGGTCCAACTGAGATCGGGCAGATGCTTCAAGTACAAGGGTCACGGTTCTGAGGTAATTAGGCACAGCTCCAGCATGTGTCTGCACCCTGTATTGCTTCCATCCTTTTCTCCTGGCCCATAACCATGTTTGTCTTTGATAGCAGCTCTGCTCCCATATAGAAATGTCTTCCCATTTCTCACCCCATTGAGAGGTTTGTAGATTTCCTAATCCGTATTCTAGACTGCAGGTCTCAATGTGACCACAAAAGATAGGAGAAGAATGAAAGTAGAAGAGAATAGCTGGGTGGCATCAGGGTTCCCAGTGGACATTGTTGTTGAATACTGCATTCAGTGTTTCGGGGGAGGAAAAGGAGACACAAGAACATTGGTTTCTTTTAACAAAGCAGTTTCTGGATGTCTTGGATGTTGAAGACCACTCTCCTAAAGAGTTAGTTATGGTTCACAAGAGTAACTGACTGAATATACTGAAATCTTCTCTCCCTTGAGGTGACTGCTGGATGCTGGCTGCCCTGGGCTCCCTGACACTGCAGAAGCAATTCTTGGGAAATGTTTTACCAAGGGATCAAGGATTCCAGAATGATTATGCTGGGATTTTTCATTTCCGGGTATGTATTCTCTGTTGTATTGGTACTGCTTGGGCTTGGCTGGTTGGATTATAGAGGGATCTAAACCGTCATCCCAAATCTCAACAGCTTTGAATGTTTTGGTTCTTCAGTGCTGATGCCCGGTCCAGAGCTTTGCAGACAACCCCAAATTTTCTAATGATTCCTTGTGCTCCACGTGGTGCAATCACATTGCAGAGAATTGGAAAACCTTTCTGAAAGTTATGACTCCAGAGATACTGATACCAGCTGTTCAGATGGATTTGTGTGTATATATATGTTTGACCTGGTATTCTGGTATCTGCTGTGATTTGGACATTTGTTATGGCTGTCAACACACCTGCGTTCTTTATCTATTTGGTCTCATTTCTGTATCTCCATGTATTTCACCTTGCCCTTTTAGCTCGTGGAAATGGCTTGAAATTACAAATCCTTGGAGACAAATCAGAGGAGCAGGCTTTTGGTATTTTGAAAGGAGATTTTTTTCAGAGAGAAGAACTCTTGAAGCTCTCTGAATCTCCCAGGAAGGTGACAGGGATAGTAACTGGCAGGCTTTGCTTTCTTGTGTCTGAGTGGACCAAATATCTGTGGGATTAGAAGCACTTGCAGTACCATTAAGCTCCAGAGGCTAAACTGGATGTAGAGAATCAGTGTATACTCGACCATTCATCATCCCCCTTCTTTCACAAATCGTTTTGTTATATGTAGTTCAGTTCTCTGGCACTGAGATTTCTTTGACTCCTGGGACCTCTCATGGAGCAGCACCAGGAGGATTATCTTGCAGGCAGTCTAAATTTTGCTCTGTTCCTTTGCTCCTTCGAATACCAGATGTTTCTTGGTCTATTTCCAGCATGCAGAGGTGCTGTATGAGATAAACCAGCTGTATGAGATAAACCAGCTAAAGGGACACTGGTCTGCTTCAAACACATTAAAAGGATGCAAGCTAGATTGTCTTTCATGAGAGCTTTGAAAAGATTAGTTAGGAGCAATCCTTAAATCTTAAGCAGCATAAATACCTTACTGTATTTGAAAATGTTTTCCCTGTCATCTCATCTGCAAATCAATGCAACTCTTTCTGGCTTTCCTTGAGCAATAAACCCCTGCGAAAGCTACTCTGAATAGAAATGCTTCTCGGCAATGCTTTCAATTATTCCATCAAAGATATTTTACTGCCATCCACAGGCTAAGCCACCAGTCCTCAGCTCGGTGAAGAATCACAAACGAGCCATATCATATGCTAATGTAATAATTTGAGCTTATAACTTTTTTTTCACCTTTTTGGATCTGGAGCATGTTGTCTCTCAGGCTGCTCCAGTCTTCCTACACAACAGCGGCTGTTTAGCTGTAAGAGTTAAGAACTTCATCAGCTGTAGTAGAGATGAGTGATGTTTTTATCTAGGGAATAATTACACTGAGGTTATTTCACCAGGAATAAAGTTAGTCTTGTGTTTGTACAGGAATCACTTTCTCTGCCACAGAAGCTCTCATGCCTGTGAAGCAAGGTGTGCCACATGTTGTGATAGTGAGCAGCAGTAGCTCAGCCTGGTTAAAAACCAGAAGTAGTCTGTAGGCACTATGTGCTGTTATGGCACGGTGCCTTAACTCGAAACAGGGGGATCTGCTGTGAGTTTAATATCCCTGATGAAATCTTTAAAGGCTAGAAGTGGTCACGACTTCAGTTTCAGGGCACATCCAAAAGGTGCCTTCTAACACCATCAAAAAGAGTGCTTGAAAGGCTTGGGGGTGAAAACCTTGCTCAATTCCAGAACTGGGTTTATCCAAAACCGCTGTCAAGGGAGGAAAAAAAATGAGGCAAAATAACAACACAAGTATCGTTGTTGTCTTGCAACTGTCCATTTCTTTTTCCTCCTCTTCTAAGCCTGGGAAAATAAAGTCCTGATTTAAAAGGCTCCCCACAAACATGGATGCGAAGAACTTCCCTCTTTGCAGCCTGCCTACGCAGGGATTGTTTCATTCATTGTCATGCTCCTAGCTGCAGTACTTTAAATCCTGAGGGTATAAAGGAATTTCATGAAGCCAGACTCTCAAGCCCGAAAGTGAAGGCATTGGCCCTCTCTGAAGGTTTATGGGGGACAGTGGCTTCTCCTGTACCGCTCTTGCAGTCCCAGAGCATCCTAGGACTTTCCATGAGGTTCCTTATTCCCATTGTGTCTTTTCCTGTCCTTGTGAGCTCAGATGAGACCAACATCTGAAAGTCTGCATCAGTCAAGACGAAGCAGCTTTCTTCATCCAGTGAAGAAACATACAGTGCTGTGTTCAGAAGGCCTCCAAGCTTGATCTGCCTACCAAAGATGGCCAAAGAACATGGATTTTGGAAAAACGTCACTCAGTGGGTTTGGACTGCATTAATCCCCATGGGCAGTTCCATATTGCACATGGAACTTTTTTACCTGTTGCATTTGCACATAAAGCACCACAGGGAAGTGTGACTGGATGTCACACCTTTTCTCCATACAGACCTGCTGCTAGGTGTTGACTGATGACAGATGGCATGTTAGATGATGAAAGTCCTTTTGGACTATCCCTTCATCTGTCTTTCCTTTTGGGCTGAGGACAGCTGGTGGCAGGCTTTTCCTCAAACCCTATCCTGCCAAAATCAAGCAGAACCCTCAAATTACTCCTGGAGCTCAAGTTTGGAGAGTCCAAATGTGACACCTCCTGCCACTACTAATGTAGGAAATGAGAGGCTGGGATAAGGCAGGACATAAGTAGGATCAAACCCGCTTTTTGCTTAGCAGACTGTAAGCTGCTTTGCTGCTGGGCACATCTGGTCTTGTGGTTTTCTAACAGAATAGCTCATTTTGAGGTTTTTCCGTTGACCAAAGCTGTTGAAATAAAATCATGCTAGACTAAATCTATTGCTGGCATGCTTCCACTGGAGTCCTTAGCGTTACTGCAAATAAGAGCTTGGCCTCTTATGACTGCGAATCATGCTAAGCTACATTAATCTGCTAATGACTCTGGAAATGGCTCCTTTAGTTCATCCCAACGCATCTCTTTCCTTATCTTCTCCCTTGGAATGTTTCATCAGCTGGAGAAACGCCTGCTCTGTCCGCACGTTGGAGAGACCACCTGCCTCCTCCTCACCTATCAAGGAGATGGATGACACCTCAAAACAGTCCTTAGTCACTACACAGTCCCTGTCCATGACTGTACCTCAGAGTCTTAGTTGAAACACAGAGGATAAAAAAATCTAGAGACTGGATCTTGACAGAGGCTCTTTGGCCAAGAGGTGTGCTGCAGGAGAAAATCCAAGCGCAGCTGAGGAGTGAGGCTCACTGAACTATCTGCATGGTTGTTCTTTATCATCTTGAATGTTTCCTATTGCCCAAGAATATCAGCATATTTCCCCTGTTAAATATTTCCTCCCACTGTTTACAGGACTATTTATATTCCCAAATGACTTCCCTTGCCACTGGGAAATCCAGCCACTTGGGAGTTTGTTTAACAATTAGCCTGAAGCAGTTCAGGAGAGAACTTGCACATATCCATGTTTTAGATTAATTCCTGTGCTGTTTCAAGAGGCTGCTGCTTGGCATGAGTATTAGCTCTTGAAAGGGGCTCATTCTTAGTCTCTCCTCTTTTTTTCTTTTCTTAATTTCCAGTTCTGGCAATATGGAGACTGGGTGGATGTAGTAATAGATGATCGGCTGCCATTCCTAAATGGAAGATACCTGTCTGTGCACCCTCGAACGTCAAATGAATTCTGGCCATCCTTGCTGGAAAAAGCATATGCCAAGTAAATATACCTGCTCTATTCTTATGCCCAGTGCTGAATGCTCTCTACATGTGGTTTCACCCTTCACTTTGCACAAGGCTTACAGGGAGGAGTTCAGGCAGGCAGCTGTGTTTGTTGTGCTGTGCTTATGCAAGGAACTGGTGCTGTATGCAAGCATGAAGCCAACATAACCTGGAGTTGCTGGTCTCAGGCTGAAGACCTAAATGAACCCAGTCCAACTCTGGGATGTTAATGCCTGGGAAGTAAAATGAACCGGGCCATGGCTGGTGACACAAAAGGAGCTGGACATTTCCTCCTTACTTCAGGCAAACTTCTTTGCCTCTGTTTTCCCTTCCATATTTTCCTCTGTTTAAAACTGTGAACTCTAAGCTGGAATTGCCTCTGTTTACAATGACTAATCAGAGATCATAAAGATATTCGGAGCAGAAAATGAGAGGAAGGATGAAGAACATGTCCAGACACAACTCATGCACTCCTGTGAGTCTCTGGTCAGCTCTCTTGTCACACAGAGCACTCTGACTCTTGGCTGAGGTCCCCAAAGTGCTGCAGGGTTAATGATGGTTAATAAAGAGATAATCACTTGTTTAAATCCTCTGAGGAGTGAAGAGATCAAAGTGTGGTCCCTTAGCATCTGTAATATTGCCCATTATTAAACATGCTGAAGAGACATTCCTGTACTAGGGGTAGTATGAAGGGCTGGGACTTGGTACACCTGCCCTAATTCAAGCTGGTGTAATGTTGGCAACGCAGTAAAGAGGAGCTGAAGAAGAGAGCTAATTGTTTTGGCAGACTTGGTCAGGAATAAGCAAATCTTAAAGCAGCATTTAGGTGTCTCAGGAATAGGATACAGTTTGCCCCAAGATATCTCAGGAAAGTTGACTCAGGATTCAGTATCAATTTGCTGCATAAGATTTTAATTACAAAGCAAACCAAAACTCTATTAAATTAAAGTTGCAAGCGATGCTGTTTATGAGATTCCCATTTGAGAAGTTATTCCCTGGTGCCCATGACAAATTCTTTTCATCAGTGTAGGACAAGGACAACCCTTCAAAATACAATTAGCTGCAGACTTCATTTGATTACATTCATTAAATACAGTGTGTATGGAGGGGTTTAACAGCATGCTTTACCTGCTCTAAGTACGGCATGTTCCAGCTTATTTGCTGTCTCAATAAAAAGCACACGATAAAAGCAACAAGGACTGTGGTGGCAATATTAAATTATTATCCTATTATTGCGCTCTAGCAGAGTGAATTCAGAACAGTGCTGAAACCTCCTTTCTGTCTTGCCTTGGGAGCGTGGGCAAATACCTTCACCTCTCTCTTCTTCCTGTTTCACATTTGCAAAAGGGATACTGGTCGTTTTTGTGAAGAATCATGAAAAAAATATGATGTAGAAAGCAACAGTTTGATCTGAAACACCCATTTGAACTATTCACCCTTGGCTCCCTTCCTGTTCAGAAGAAGGAAACTGGGTACTTCATGATGAGATGAAGGTTATGTCCCTAAAACATCTGCATTGGCACGAGATGCACCTTGTTATTTTCCACAGTCTATAAATGGCTCTAGACAGCTGGCTTACACGTGGGTGAATACATAGGAAAAAGTACCTCTCCGCCTTATTCATTCCACAGGATGTGTTGTGCCTGGCCATGTATTTCAGTCATGTTTCCTTTCATTAACAGGCCCCAGTGTCTACATACCCCATGCTCACTGCCTCAGTGTGGAAGCCATCACTGTGCATTGCTTATTAAAGCAGAGTGTGAGGGATAACTAACTTCATGGGGTTTGTTGTGGGTTTGTTTCAGGTTGCAGGGTTCCTACCAACACTTGCATGGAGGCTACCCTTCTGATGCTTTAGTAGACTTCACAGGTGGAGTCCAAGTACAGTTTTCCTTAAAGGATCCTCCTCCTGATCTGGATGAGATACTGAAGGCAGCTGACAAATCTCATTGTCTGATGGGGTGTAGCACCTCAGGCCAGGTGAGTCACATGCAGGGCCAGTAGTGTCCTGGTTTACAGCGTTAGCATGAAGGTTGCTCTTGTCACTGAAAAAGGAAGTCCAGAATCACTCTGTGCAATAGTTACAGTCTATGGATGCCTGAAGAGATCTTGGCAGCAGAAAGTAGATGAGGTTATGCAGTAAGGAACATAAAAGCTTTTGGTAGATTGATGGATTGCTCTGTCAGAGAGGGGTCTGTGGCTTCTTACCTGACTAATTCCACTGCAATAGAGTGGTATCTTCTTGCAGCAGGACTGATTTTGACCTCATAGCTTTGTGACTGGTTCTAGCAAGGCCAAAATGCACCTCTCTTCTGTGAGAGGGTGCTGTTATGGCCTTGCGATTTGCAGGCTTACAGGTGTTAATGCTGGGAAATTGCAAAAGGCTTTGTGATGCTCAGCAAGTGTCTTGCTAAAAGGTTGCCAAGGCTTCCCTTAACAACATGTAAGAGAAGGCTGCAAAGTGTGTGACATGGCTCTTGTAGTGCCTGCTTCATCAGGACATGAAGCTTGGCTGTTCCAAACAAGCCAAGGACTAGCTTCTCAGCTCAGGTGGCTGATGCTGGGCTGTGGGTGGCAGGGAAATCCTGCCAATGACCCAGTCCAGGTTATTCTGCTTTTGCAGCAGCTTTGGTCCACTGAAGAACTTGGAAATTTTTGAGGACCTGTAGTGTTGTTAAATTTACTGGCCTGCTTATGGCTGCAGTGGGAACAACAGTCACGTTCCTCTGGAGCCAGAGTCATCTGAGATATTGGTGTAGTCAAAAGCAAGCCTTGTTTTTTTCTGCCATGCCAAATGACAGTTGTGGGAGTTGATGGCCATACATTTGCAGTGTGGCAGAGAGATAAAAGCTGTGCTTTCTCTCTTCTGCAGCTGAGGAACATAGAGCTGAAGAATGGGATTGTCCAGGGTCATGCCTATACTGTCACTGGAGCTGAGAAGGTAAGATCGAGGACTTGTTCCTGTACTGGTGATCCACCACAAGGCAGTCACACTGCTGCTCTGTTCAGAGTAATTTTAATTAGCTTCACACTTAGGAGGGATTGTTGAAAGCAAATAATTCAGATTCCAGGAGATGGAAGGATTCTGGCACGATGGGAACAGGGAGAAAATCTGAATCCTATTTTTTCTAATGGAAAAATGCAAGATTTTTGGTTTGGGGCACATCAACAGCAAATGCAGCATTTCTGGGGATTTGCATTCCATGCTGACTCTTAAAAAAATCACTTTTCTTTATCAAATGGGAATAGAAGCACTGGCTGAAATTGTGGGATTTGTCATACAATGCAAATCTACATTTGTTCAGCTCAATCACAAGCTGCCAAAAATCACTGTGTGAAAAGTAAGTAACTCGCTGGTTCAGGAACAGCATTTCTCCGTCTTTTAAAGCTGTTCTACCCATGCAGAACTTGTCCTGGCTAGGTATTAATAATGCTGATCTGAAAACAGGACCCATTTATCACACAGATCAAGAGAAATGAAGGATATTTTTAACAGCCAGAAGTCAGAACACGGCTTACTCCGGTAAGCTGTAGTGCACATAAGGAGAGTTAACAGTGAGCAAGGCCAAGAAGGAAACCAAACAGTGGCTATGCTGTCAAGCAAGACAGCTAAAACACATTTTAATCTCAGAACTTAAAGTACTTTGGAAAGGGGACATTGTTTTCCCTAAACTATTTTCTCACTTCTTCCCTTCTCTTTCATGATTTTCTGTATGAACTTGGTTTTGGTTTATAGCCCCTCATACCATGGCATGCAAGATGTCATGCCAGTGTGCTTCTTGTTGGAGGACACTTGCTTGTAGCAAAGAGGCTCCAAAATGGAAGGGTGAGGGTTTCTGGGTTACAGAGAAGGCCCCAGCTGGTTCACCCCAAGACAGGGGTGGAAGGATCCTGAATATTGGAGAGGAAGTAGGCTGTTTCAGCATCCTGCTGCTCATGACATGTGCAGAGAGGAGAAACAGTTTTAGCCCTTTGCCAAGGCATCCATGGGGATGTCCTGTGGGGAATGATTTGAGGCTGGCCAGGGGCTAGACCTTTGCTTGGGAAGATACTGCCATCCAACGCTGCCTGTGTGCATAAGGAGAGCTGGAAACAAAGGGTTTGCTTCTCCTTTCCACTTTCATTGGTGAAAGTGAGTTGCTTCTGGCTTAAACATCAAGAGGAGAGAAGCACTGGAAACTGCAGCTGTTGGAAACCACGGTGCTGTAGATATAGAGCCACAGATTCTGTTTATCATCACCATCTCTCCATGCTGGCTGTTGACATTCACTCCAGGCAGTCTGGTGACCTCATTCCTCAAAGTTTCTGCCTTTGCTGACTCACAGCATTAGATGTGTAGAATCAGGCACTGGAATTTCCCAAGGCCGCTGAAGTCATGCAGTGTGGCAGGGGTGCTGCTGCTTTCCTCTGTGTCAGCTCTTCACTGTCTTCAGGAAAGCAAATTGGGTGCAGTTTTCTCCCACATGTCATTCCTTTACACTGTAGGCACTGATTTTTATCTGCAGTCAAATGAGATCAGAAGTTAAACTAGGTCTTGAAGGTATAGAGGAAGATCCGTTTTATTACCCATCTCATCACTGAATATCACAATTGTGAAAAGCTGTGACTGAGTTTATTTTTCTTTCTTCTTTACAGATATGCTACAAGAATAGCTGGATACATATCATCAGGATCTGGAATCCATGGGGCCGTGGGGAGTGGAAGGGGGCTTGGAGCGATAAGTATGGTCTTAAAGCTTTAATCTCATAAGAAGAACCACTTTTTATAGGCTTATTGTAGAGGACCTCTGCATTGCACCCATTGTAATGAAAAGAACATTTCTAAATCAGTCCATTATAAGTGTTCTTTCCATCTGCAAAGCAACTGCCCACAGAAATCTAATCTGGGGAAAACTAACGCAGCATTGATTTTATGTGCTCATCATTAGGCCTAGCTCAGGTATCGCATTTTGTCTATGTGTACATTTTTCCCAGTGGGTAAATCCAGATAAGTCATGGATGAAAGAGTTATTATTACCTGGACTAAGCTCTGGCCACTTCTCTAGACACTGGCTGGCTGCTTCTATTGAATTCTCCTGTAGCACTCATGCATCCTCCTTCCTGCTCCTTCTTCCCCTCCCATGAGTCTGACTGCAGGAAGAGGATGGTTAGCAGAATTGATGAGAGTAGGGCAGTATTTTTATGCAGTATTGAACACGGAGAGACAAAAAGGGTCATTGGTTATTGCAAAGAAAAAGTGCTGCTGGATGACTTGAACTGATCTTTTGGATCCTGTGTGCAGCTTTGGAGATGCAGGGACCACTTTGCTGCTTTGAGTATAACCTCACTGCTCTTTCCTGAGGAAGGGAACGATACAGAGGAAGACTGCAAAAGTGTTTTATAAATAAATAGATATCAGTTTTCCTGGTGGAATTGCATCAGTGGTTTCCTGACTAGAGAGATGTTCGTGTGTCACTCTGATGTGATTTAATAGCATGCTGCCTCTCCCTGTTGCTAGGATCACTTTTCTCTGCTGAGAAAAGTCAGGCTAGCGTGTTGTGTCTGGATGGGTTGGCGGGTGGTGCAGACATGTTTAGGGCTGGGATAATAGCTATCTGCTCCGACAGAATGCTCCCATTCTTTGGAAGGGTGAGCTATAATCCTAACAGTAATTGAAATGTCAGTAGAGAGCGTTCACAGGTAAACTGCATAAATCAATAAATTATTGATTCATGCTCTGTTTATTTATCTTAAACTCTGCAGAAAGTACAATTATCTCTTAATTATAAACATGCTGCTTGGAAACAACCCATTTGACTGGCTAATGTGCCCTCTACACATCAATGTAATATCAGCACTTCAGAGCGCTATGCCTTGGTGCCTTCTAAGCTCTCCAGCATATGGACAGGTGACTGGGGCTTGGAGGGCAGAGGCAGGGATACCCATCCTAGGGTGGGCAACTCAGGCACAGCAAAGGTGCAGAGCTCTATTTGCTGGCTTTGGGCATGAAGGTATCACCCACAATCCCATTCCTGATGTGCAGTTTGCTCACGCCTCCTGATCCCTCATGACTTAATGGGCTGATAAGAGGAATGGGCAGAACAGAGAGATGAGGATACTGTGCCTCACATCTGCTTGTTGATTTTTTCCTGTTCGCAGCTCTCCTCAGTGGGACCATGTTGAGCCTAAATACAGAGAAGCCCTCCTCAGAAATAAGGATGATGGAGAATTCTGGTATTTCCCTATTGCTCCTTCTGTCTACCAGGTTTTCTGTTTGCATTCATTATGAAAGAAGAGTCATTTAGGCAGTTGTCCTGACCTGATGGTTTCAGAGGAAACAAGACCTAGAGAAATGGAGCTGGCCAAGATTAAGTACCAAGCTGGTGGGAAAAAAATAAAGGAAAAGTGAGAGAAGTAAAAATCCAGCTTGCTGAGACATAGTCATTTTGTCACACTGTCCTTCCCCATAAAACACCTAGCTTGAACTGTGCTCAGCTCTGGAGGAAACAGCACAAGAGGGACATGGAATTGCTTGAGTGAATCCAGAGGAGGCCACAAAGATGATCAGAGGACTGGAGCACCTCTCCTGTCAAAACAGACTGAGAGTGCTAAGGCTGTTCAGAAAAGGCTCAGGGGAGACCCTGTAACAGTCTTCTAATACCTAAAGGGGTCCTACAAGAAATCTGAAGAGAGTTTTTTTACAAGGGCCTGTAGTGACAGGACATCAGGGAATGGCTTTAAACTGAAAGAGGGTACTACTGAACATTCCCTGAGGCTCTAGGTGCAGTCAGGGCAGCCCAAGTGCATTGAGAGTTGACTTCTGTGAAGTATCAGCCAGCTCAGCTATAGCCTGTAGCTCTCTCTGTAATCCTCTTCTAAAGACATTGGGGATGATCATGGATACCTGACCAGTATCTCAAACTGAAATGTGAAATTTTAATCCTTCTCTGCAGGATGTCCTGTGAAAACTTCCAGGAGCAGTTTTCCTGGCTCTATATATGTAACAGCACTCCAACATTTCTGGACTTTGGAGACCAGCACCGCACAACGTGGTCCATGGAGAAGCACATCAACCTGTGGAGACCAGTCCTGGACACTGGCAGGAGTAACTATTCTACAGGTAATGAACATTTGCTGCAGTTACCCAGTCCTTTCCTCCTCTCCACTGGTGCTTACAGTGAAACATGCACTCTGAGCACTGAATTGCAGAAATATTGATTGCCAGTTGCTAATACCTGCCCTTTCCCATTACAGCACCTATCAGCTAAAGAGGTAGAAGCAAAGCAGCGGCGCGGGCTGCTGAGTTAAAACAGGAGACTTGTGATTTAGAAGCCCTGAACTCTTTAAATCAAAATTTGCTTGTCTGTCTTCTTTCAGTCAGTTGCAGTAGGCGTTACTGCAGGCCTCATCAGAAAGTCTGGTCTGGCAAAGCTGATTTTACAGAGCAAGAAATACTCTGAAATGAAATGGATCTGAAAGGAAGGAATTGTGCCACAATGCTCTATTTTCAAAGGTAGAAAGGCCTTTGAGCAGATAAAACCTCTGGTTTTACTGCCTGGGCAAGGACTCTTCTGGCAATGCAAGCTCTGATTCGGCTGTAAAGTTTTGGCTTACATGTTTCAGCCTCCTCCCTGTAACCTTGATCTCAAGGGGCAATAACAAAGCAATGTCTGTGTTGCTGCACACCATAGGCACTGGGACTGAGTGAGGAGGTGCAGGGGCTGAACCTGAGAGCATGTGGGCAGAACCAGTTTCCTTGAAGTGGTGTTTCCCACCAGCCCTCTAGTAAAGTTCCTGTCCAAGCACAAGTGGGCTAAATTTCAGCTTTTGAGGCCACCCAACACAGATACATGGCTTAAAGTCTAGCCTGGTTTAAGCAGTTGCTGCCGTATCACTTCTTTTTTCCCATTTTGGGCATTTTGCTGCTTTCTTATCAAGGATGTTTCCTGTTAACTAAAACCAGGGCCAAGAAGCAGCCTATTCTTTCTGTTGCTTAACATCCTGTTCTGTCCATCACTAATAGGAAGGAAGGAAAAGAGAGCTTTGGACCATTTTGACCTTTTCTTCTACTGTTTATGATCTCCTTGCCACAGTCCTTTTCAGGTCAGCCACTGGGTTAGGCAGCTGATTAAGAACCACTGTGTTTCTGCCTCAGGGAAAGTGTGCCATGTAAGTGAAGCAGATGTAGGGGGGTTGAGAAATCTGCGTGACTTTTATGACTTTGCAAGAGATTTCTAGAATGATCAAAGCACAATTAGTTTAACTTGAGATGCCTCAATTCTTGGTAATGGAGAGACTACAGTGCTCTGAAAGGATCTTGGAGCAGTAACAACCTGTTCCTCTGGGTCCATAGCAAATCCTTGCACAATAGGCTATTACCGAGATGTCTATGTGGCTAGTATTAATCCATTAACACTTTCTCAGCAGGTGCAGTTTCAATGAACCCTCAGTATTTTTTCAAAGTGATGGATTATGAACCAAACACCTATAATGTAGTAATTTCAATCATGCAAAAACATGCTGAGGATACGCAGAATGCAAAAAACCTGAAGATTGGCTTTTTGATCACCATGGTAAGCACAATCAGGTATCGTAGAATCACAGGCTGGGTTGGGTTGGAAGGAACCTTAAGGTTCACCCAGTTCCAACCCCCTGCCACAGGCAGGGACACCTTCCACTAGAGCAGGTTGCTCCAAGCCCCTGTGTCCAACCTGGCCTTGAACACTGCCAGGGATGGGGCAGCCACAGCTTCTCTGGGCACCCTGTGCCAGCTCCTTAGCACCCACACTGGGAAGAATTTCTTCCTAATGCCTAACCTAAATCTTCCCTCTTTCAGTTTAAAGCCATTCTCCCTTCTCCTACCACTACACGTCCTTGTTTTCTGTGGTTTATTATACCTGTACATGGAAATGAAAGACTGAATTGCCTTTCAGGCTACAAAAAGAGAGCAGACAGTATTTGCAATAAATTTCTGGATGCCTGCTGTCGTAGAACATCACAGGAAAAGTAGAGTAAGGAAGGTTTAGTTTTCTTTATTCATGTATTAAGAGAGGAAAGGTTGAACATTTAGTTCTGTAGCATCCCAAAATAGCTCTGGGAAAATCAGGGAGTCCCTAGATTACAAGACATGCCAGGGCAATATTCTCTGTGCCCAGCAGTACTAGCGACATGCCTTGCTGGCCCAGCACAAAGCATGGCAGCAGCACTAACCACAGAATATGAGCAATACTTCGGGTCTAGTAGGGAAGCAAATGCCTTCTTGTTTCCCAAAATGGTCCTGTTTTACTCAATCCCCTCTTTCCTATCACAGAAAGCCATGCAAAAACCATTTACAAGATAGGCTTTGCTCAAGACCAGTGTGGAGGTAATCCACTCAATACCTGGGACCTCCACCACGATTTCCCTGGTTATTTTCCTGGTGACTATCCAGGGAAGTGCCATTCAAAGGGCAGTTGTCAGAGCATTACCAGCAATACTGAGAATGCAACTGCTAGTGCAGATTGATGCCAGCCTTTTCCAAAGTGTTTTTGTTGTTGGCTGAGGAGCGTGGGAGGGAGTTGTTCTTCGTCTGAAGAATAAAAGGAAGCAGAGATTGCTATGACCCTAACTTCACATTCTCCTGATCACTGGAGAGGTTTTGCCTAGTCCCAGACTTTGAATAATTGATGCCATAAGTCTCGCAGCATAAAGGAAGAGCATGGCTTTGTAGCTCATCAAAAACAGTGTCTGAGAAATACGAAGTGTAGCAAAAAGAGCATCCCTCCAGCAAGTGGAACTCACTATCCCTGTGCTGGGAGATCCTTTGCCTGGTGCAGATTATCAGGCCTGCAGGGCTCCCTGGAGCCCACTGTGCCACTTGGAAAGAGCTGCTGCTCTTGGTAAATGGGGAACAGCATCCTCACCAGCAGTCACCAGACAAGGAGGTTCCTGCATGCTTTTGCATGATGTGTGTCCACCTTGACTAGTTACACATTTTAACAGACATGACCCTCAATGGGAGATGATGGCATAGGTTTTGGGTCCCTTGAAAAGGGGTTGTCTAATTAGCAGAGTAAGGGACAGATCTTGTCTATTCTTGCTTCATATTTAAAATGTCTTTCTTCCCCTCCTGTTGATCCTGAGGTGTGGTCATTCAGTTTTTCTCTCTCTTGGTATATTCCAAGGACACATGAAATTTGATGTCACGTCTGTATGACATGGCCTCTGTGGCCATACCTCACCTCAGGCTCAGTTTGGGTTTCTGACCTTGCATGGTCTCCTGCACAGGTCCTGAAGGGCAAGGCCAAACAGACCATCACTAGAGGCACCAGGATTACTGTGGAGCACCTGGTCAGTGAGGGAAAGGGGACAGTTACGCTGCTCTGTCATGCTATAGCTCTTAGTAATGTAATGATATTGTATTGTTACAAATCCACACAGCAGATGATACAGAAAATACTCCCCTATGGACACAGCATAAGTATTTTAACGGTCTACCAGCTCCTCACAGCCAATATCCTGCCCTGATAGCAACAAAACTCAACTCCAGGAGCTAAAACCAGGGTAGGTTTACAGTGCTGTTCTGCATAAAAGTTTACAAGGGATTTTCTTTGCATGTGGAGAGTGCAATTGCTAAGAATCATGTGGCTTCACCCTTCCTGAGCTGTTTTCATTGCCATTACTCATTAGCAGCATCATTCATTGTTCAGTACCTTTTGAGAGACATCAAATTGTTGTTGTGATGTGAAAAGAGTGTTATCCCTGGGCAGCACGAGAGGGGAAAGCAGTGCAGGCAAGGAAGCAAAACAAAATGGACGTATCTGATAGCTCTAGGAAGCCTTTGATTAAATATGGATACAGAACACTAATACGTGGCTGTGAGGGAAGTTTAATGTTGTGTGATAGATCTGAGCAATGTATAGATCCTGATTCTTATCTCACACCAGTTTTGACTCCATTGAGATATTAATCTGCTGCTGCCTTTTACCAGAAGGAATGTGGAATGAGACCCAAAAGTAAAAAATGGATTACACCATTTATTTCTTTGCAGCACTGCCCGTTCCTATCTGCTCCAGATCTGACCCATAGTACTTGGCAGTCTACATACCTCCCAGCCGTCTCTAACAGTAGTCATCTTTTTATGTGGTTTTTTTCTTCCAAAATAGCAGTTTTATGTTATTGTCTCCCAAAGGCATGGCTCATAAATAACTCTGCCACGCTGTATAACCATTCTAAATGGAATTTATACACGCTGATGTATTTTGGGGAATATGTTTAGGAAGGGTTTTTTATTATGCTATCTTAACGTGTCATCATAGTAATAGCTGCTGCATTATATTTGTTTCATCTCAGCAAAAATACTGGAATAACAGAAGAAAGATCAGAATATTCTGTTTCCTAGTGACACTTGCTGGAAGGTTTAGGTTGCGATTCTTGAAGCAGTGCCATCTGGGTGAGATGCTTAGTGAGCTCTCTGAGTCGCACTAGAACTCAGGGAAGTTTTAGTAAGAGTATTCATCCTTGGTTCCTCCATGAACTCCAGTCTGCTTAATGTTAATTGAAGTTCTCTTCAAATCCACTTACATTCATTTTGCCTTCTGTTTCTTTCAGTTCTTCCACCCTTATGCATTTTTGATGTGTCCTTGAACAAAGTGTGTCACCTGGATGGGCTTTTCATACCACTGGGGAGGTTAAGACATGCTAGATGGAGTGTATATTTAGAAAGCTGTGGGAATATAAGGCTGCTGTGGGTGGAACTTGCTGGTTTACTTTGGTTGCTGACATGGAGAGGAGACAGCCAGTTACTTTTTTCTTTCAGGAGAACTCCAAAGTTCTGAAACAAACTTTTGCCTTGACTCGAGACGTGACCACCTACTTTATCCTGAGCCCAGGAACATACGCTGTTGTTCCTGCTGCAGCAGAGGACCAACAGTTTGAATTCCTCTTAAGAATTTTCATGAAGAATCAAGACAACTATGAGTAAGATGATAAGTATTCCTTGAAGGCCCCAGACTTACAGTGTGCCAGGATTTAACAATTTAATGTCAAGATAACTAATGTGGCAATTTGCTTTTAATATACTCTAGAAGTGTGTTGGGAGGACACAGCTGAGTGTTAAGCACCATGTTGAGGCGGATCACGCGTATAGTCAGATGCTTAGGGGTGGCCACTGCAGAACAGGGCAATAACTCATTGGCAGCCACAAAGGGTCTCAGCTTTAGTACAAAGAGCATCACAAGCAAGCAATGATTGTGAGATATCCCCCTTCAGTTGTGAGGAAATCTCTCCTTACTGAAAGAAGGAATGTGAGCTTGCTTTTCTTAACAAGTGTTATGTAGTTTCTTGTGCTGTCTGATGGATCAGGTCCCACCAGCCTCAGAATGGGATCTAGAGAAGCAAAGAGCAGTGAAAGGCCTTGATCCTTTCACCCAGCCATCTCATAGCCAGGCTGGCAGGGCTCCCTGTGGGTATAAAGGGGACCTTGAAGATAAGTTTAGTGGGAAAGTGGTATCTTAATTCATGCAAAGGCAGCTGTTATCATGTTTTCACGTAAATAGGAGGGTGTGCTTTATGTAAAGAGCAAGCCCTGGCATTCAGCCTTACTAAATGACCTTCAAGCATCGGATGTACAGTGGCTTTTCTTTAGCAAGCTTTATAATGGAGGTGATTGCAGTTCTTGCCATATGATAATAATGAGATTACTTTCTAGGCTTTGGTCCCTGGCCCGGAACCAACTAAGGCAACTCCTTGGTTATGGAAAACAAACATAAGAAGACTGTGCTCTGGGCTGGACTGCCTTCAGCATGACAAGTCATGCACAAGATGTCTCAGCCTCGGCAGGCGGCGCTTTCTAGGACCCTCACAGACTTTCCTGAGCTAGGCCAAGCATTGGGATCCCGTTTTTGTGGGTCTCTGCAGCACTTTACCTGTATGATAGCACAGATGCTATTAAAATAGCATCTGGCTTGCCTGATTTCTCTACCAAACACAAAACTCAAGTATTGAATGTTGCTATTGAGTCTCAGAAGGAATGGTGACCTCCACTGAATTTCAAGCAGCCTGCAGACATTTAAAAGATGTTGCCTTTTAAAAAGATGTTGTCTTTTGATAGCGCAGATACTGTTTTTATTCCTGACTATTAAATTTGGCAGAGAGAAAGCAGGTGAATATTTTATGTGGCTCAAGGCAGGGCAGCCCCGTCTTCTGTGTAGTGAAGTTAGTCCTGGCATGCTCAGAGTGAGACAAGTTACCCTTTCTCTGCTGCTGGTGCGGTGTCCCCCCAGCAGCTAGAGACTCACGTCTGCTTGCACAGAGAGACCCAGGACTGGTGCAACAAGCTTGGCTGAGCTGGGACCAGCTGGGTGGTGTAGGTGCTGAGCATCCTGGGGGGCTGCAAGCACTGTGGGTGCCTGACTTCTGCCATATCTGCAAATTGATGCTCTGAAAAGGCCTGTTCTCTCCCAGTTTGACTCTTGTAACTCTCTTCCAGGAACTCAAGCTCCCCACCCAGCCCAGTGCTGCCAATGGTAAGAGTGTGTGAAAACTGATATGGATACTTGTGGTGGTGAATGGTTTCCAGAGAGCTGACCATTTGATAGCCACCTCTACTGACTTCTCCCCTTCCTTCCTCACATACCTGATACCACTCTGCTCTTTTCTCCTTTCACCACCCAGTACCTGTCCAAGAGTTATGGCACCCTACAACCAGGGGTGACTAGCCTGGGGTATCTCTCTGGAGAGACAGGAGTGACAGTGAAGCCTCTAATCTTCACGTGTCTCTTACAGAGCTTGATTTTCTTAAGGAAACAAATCTTCTACAGTCCCTCTGTCAGCCTGCCCATCTGTACTTTCCACCTTGCCTTCTTGAACGCTTTGACCAACCAAATACAGAAGAAGGGAGAGCATTTCAGGGATATAGTAAACTCTTGTGATGTCTGTAAATGAGTACGTATCTAAGGAGAAGAGAGGGGGAAACTTTGATGAAAAAGTCACAACTAGAGTTTGACCTCTTTTAAAAAGACTTCACAGCTGACAGCAGGGTCATACATGACTTCCCCATAGAGGGTAGCTCATAGGTATGACCCCAAGAGGGTCATATATGCCTAAATGAATAGCTTTATTTAAGTGCTTGCACCATATGAAGCATAGGAGTCCATAAGGGTGAGACACAAAGAAGATGTCTTCTGATTTTCATCAGGGTGTCTTCAAGGATATAGGGGAAATTACACTTAAAACCTGGTTGCATCTCTAGTTCAACCCACATTTCAGCCTCTCTAGCCCAGCTATCATCTGGATTTCCTCACAGTGAACTGTGCAAACTGTCGGAGCTGGTCCAGGTGCTGCTGCCTCACCAGCTGCTTACAAACCCCTGCTGCTGAGAGGCTGTTATTTATAGCAGTGCAAACTCAGTGCAGGTCTTTGAAGCCAAAGGTGTAAAACTGCTTCAGGAGAACAGAAAACAGAGACCTTTCCTTGTGATTCATTTTCCAGCCTGCAATTAAGCCCCATTAGAGGTGTAGTGTAAATGGTGGCTTATTATCTCTTAGCACTGACAAGCTGTCAGTTTACTCAGCTGTTGTTATTAGTGAGTGTTTTGACTTTGATGAATTATGGTACCCTTACTTTCTGCTCTTGTTCAGGTATTTGGGTTTCACTGGTGTGAATTATCTTGCACTGAGATGAAGGCATTGGGACTTAGGCTTAAATCTTTCGGGGGAAACTTTATGATGTTAAGGATAGTTCTGTCTTCTCACCAGAGGGCTGAAAGAAATCGCTTAACCATTGAATTGCAGTTGCTCAGGTACAGTCAAGCCTGCTTGGGGTTGAGAAGGTACAAGAGAAAAGAGAAGTCAACTCCTGCTCTGTTTTCTTGGTTCGCATGTATCTTTGCATGCCCTAAGCCAGTGGTTTCAACTGGCCATCAATAAGGATTAGGCTTTGTACATCTATTCTTATGTTTGGACTTGCTGAACTCCACCCTGGATGTATTCTGTTGTCTTCTTCAGGCTCCGAGCTGCTCCTTCCTGGTTGTGCTAAGTGATAACATCCAAACTATGCATCTTTCATTGCAGCAGCTGTTCCTCACTCCCAGTCCACTTTACTTTCGGGGTGTTTAAACTGCAGCCTGTACTTTACATTCCCTGCCCTCTCTGAAGTGCTGATTGGATCTGCAGACTTCTGCCTCCAGATGTTTTGGAATTGAATTATTTATGTGTGTACTTTGTCTTTGATGCAGGATCTACCAAGACAGAACCAGGACAGCTCCTATAAGGCTATCTTCCTAAGATATGCTAAGCAGGTATCCTATCTATAACATCTTGCTGAAAAAATAAAAATAAATAAGGATGTGGACTTGCAAAAAGAAAAATTGATCTATGATGTTGATACAAATCCATTTAGAAAAATGGTTTTTTGGGGAAATACTGCTCCATCTTCAAGCAGATACCTTGAAAACAGTATTGATTGGCCTGCCAAAGCCCCCAGAAAAATGAGACATTCAGCTGGGATAGATTGGCTAGTCCCATATATCAGCGGGGGACTGGAGATTTGCGGTAGTGCTGGTGATGGGCTTGCATGTGTACTTCTTTTTTGGCTTTGGTTTGTTTATTTACTGAAAGCAATTAGAAAGCTTTGGGTATTCCCCCCCTCTCATCAGCATCGTTTTCCGTTTGCCTTCACAGCGTTTGGAAACTAGACATCAGTCAGTGTTTGAGTAATTGATTCCTGATCTTTCAGAGCCAAACTCCGTGTGTTCACAGGAGATGCTTTTAATGGTTTAATAAACAGCTATAAAGAACTCTTCAACTTAGTCAACAGGAGAAAAAATTACTGCTAAAAGTCTTTGCACAGTGGACCTCTTGCAGTTAATAGTTGTATCAATGCATGAAGGTGAAAATGAACACCTTGCTGAATGCCCTGGGTGTGTATCAGGTGGGAGGCGGAAAGGTTCCCCAAAGGGTAGCTCAGAAGGAAGCAGCAGCAGTGCCTGTGCTCCCAGTCTGCTTGCCCGTCCCTGTCTGCTCACCAGCTGAGCCTGCCCATCAGCAACCTGCTCTAGTGGAAGGTGTCCCTGCCCATGGCAGGGGGTTAGAACAGGATGAGCTTTAAGGTCCCTTCCAACCCAAACCATTCTGTGATTCTAGGATAACTCCCCAGATAGGAGCTGGTGAAGTCAACAAGTGTTCACTTTCCCTCACTGCTGGAAATACCCCATGGTGATGGGAATGCCTGTAACTGCCCTGGCTACTCAGGTAGGGAAGGACAAAGAGTAGCTCAGCAGTGTGGAGAGCTGTTATGCTCCTGAGGGGGTGCTGCTGCTCCTCTGATATAAGCAGAGATCCTTCTTGGTGGCCACAGTGCATGAGTAAAGAAGTTTGGGGCTAAAGTGACACAGGAGAAAACTTTATGCTCACAGACCTTTCCTTGCATTTTATACTGCATTAGGGCTCAGATATCGATGCCTCGCAGCTGCAAGAACTCCTTAATGAAGTGATCCTACAAGGTAAGTATTTTAAACCCCAGCTATTGTCTTTGGTGCTTCCCTATCCCTTAGCCTAGTGTAAATTAGACAGAGGATTTAGTGGTGTCCTGATGCCCCTTAAAACATCCTCCGTGTGGCTTACTGCATTGTTGGATCTTGAAGAATGAGAAGTGGTGCTGAGGCACTGGAACAGGTTGCCCAAAGAAGTAGTAAATGCTCCACTCTGGTAATCCCCGGCAGTGTTCAAGGCCAGGCTGGGCAGAGCTTTGGGTGACATGGTCTAGTGTGAGGTGTCCCTGCCCATGGCAGAGGGTTGGAACTAGATGATCTTAAGTTCCTTTCCAACCCAAACCATTCCATGATTCTGTAATTCTATAAGTGCTTCCACCAATGTTCCCTCTGCTTTGCAGACCTATCCTACCCCATGCTGTCCTTCTCCTGGAAGTCCCCATGAGCACCCCTTCCTGCTTTGTGCCCCACCAGTAGTAGCAGGAACTCATTCCCTGGCTGGGCTGCACTAGTGAGTGCCCTGGGGAGCTGCGCCTCCCACTCTCCTCACTGCCACCCAGTTTCTCCAGTCCAGCCGTGGCCTGCTTCACTCCTCTGTAGCAGCCTCAAGCTGGCTTCCAGCATTTTCCAGCCTTCCTAACCTGCCCACCTGGAAAACAGCATGACACAGGCACAGCCGGAGGGCTTGAACTGACTCAGTCATGCACAAGGTTCAAAGTGCTCTTAGGACTTGCTAATTCTGCATAAATGGCCTTTCTTGTCACTGTCATTTTCCTTATCCTTATTTTAAGAGGGAGGGGTCGCCCAAAGAAGGCTCTTGTCCTCGGGGACAGCAGCAGAGATGTCAGAGGCATGTCATACTCCCTCAGTGGACCTCAGCCTTGCACATAGCCCTGGTTGTATTTGAGCCAGATCTGGGGCTTTTTAGCTACATGAGCCTTCAGACTGGTGTCCTCTTT